CAGAATTCTCAAAATTATATAATATAGATGTCTAATATACAGAACGTTCATTTGAAAACTTGCCACCACGGATTTATCGAAAACCACTAATTAAAAGAAAAAACGCCTGGACACGACATTGGATTTGGAACTTTTTAATCAAAACCTACTTCACCCCTTTCACCTTCGGCCACCAGGGTCATTCCCCTAAAAATTTTAAATGACAAGCGGTATCCAGTTATAGCTTTTTTGGAAGTTCTTTCGAAGTCCTTTATTTTGACGTTCAATTTTTTAAAATCAGTCGGTTCGTTTCCGAGAAAATTAAAAAATCTTTATCTCTATTTGTTCAGATGCAAAACAAAAACGCGCGAAAATATCACTTTTTATTTCATTAAGCGTTCAAAATGTTGCCCATTAGGATTTGCCAAATCTACAATTCGTTTATAATTGAAAACGGAAACTACCAACATAAACATCAATTCGGAAGACTAGACGTGGCGACAACCAAATAACAACCCGAATTTCTTTCCACATTCTTTTCACCTAAACAGATATCCTGGACGTTATATCTGTTTAGTTATTTGTTGCTAAGGGAAAGAAATAATTTATTTTGCTATCAATTACCTTTGTGACAATCTTGGGATAGTGAAAATTAATTTATTGATTCCGATTTTACTGACCAAAATGGTAGCCGTAAAAGTGGAAATGATTCTAATTTATGGTACCCAAAATCAATGTTCTCGACAAACTACCATCGCGTGTAACGCCAGACATCTTCGCATACGTATATTTTGAACCTTGTTACTAAATTTACTAAAACTGAATCTGTTGCAAATCAAAAACGTGATCATCGAAGAGTTTTGGATGAAGCCGCTCAAGTTGAGGTTTCGGGTCATGTTGGAATAAGTCCTAATCATTACACAAAACTGTTGCTGCAACTGGTATTTCATTAGGCTCTGTACACACAGTTACTAAACTCCATAAATTTTATCCATTCAAAATGAAAATATTGCAAGAGTTAACCGAAGATGATTTGATAGGCAGGTTGAATTTTGCGAACAAATGATAATACCATTCATGTAAAGAATATCTGCTTCCGTGATGAATCCACATTTGATCTAAATGGATTTGTTAATAAGCATAACTGCAGGTATTGGAGCAATGAAAATCCTCCCTCATGCTTTTGTAGAAGGGCATACCCAGTACCCCGCAAAAATTAATGTGTGGTCAGACATTTTAGGAAACAAAGTGATTGCGCCATTATTCATTAATGGAAACTGGAATGGAGACATTTATTTGAATATGTTGGAAAATATCATAATCCGCTTATCACTGAGAACATTGAAAACCAAGTCGGAGAGGATGGAAACCTTATACTTGATGAAGCTGAAATATATTTCCAGCAAGACGGCGCTCCTTCTTATTATGTTCTTCTAGTTCGGCAATGGCTAGACAACGAGATTCCAGATGAATGGATAGAGCGAAGAGATAGAATGACCTGCTAGATCTCCTGATTTGACGCTATTAGAATTTTTTTATGGCGCCATTTGAAATCTATTGCTTACTCCCCAACGTTAAAGTTTGGATGAAATTCGTCAACGCATCATCGAAAGCTGCCATGATATCCCACAATATGTTTTTGATCATGTCCGTAAGGAATTTGAACATCGTCTTTATCATTGTTTGGTCAATAACGGGCACATTTTGAACACTTATTGAAATAAAAAGTGATATTTTCGTGTTTTTGTTTTCTATCTGAACAAACTAACATAAATAAAGATTTTCGTAATTCTCTTGAAAACAAATCGACCGATTTCGAAAAATCAAACGTCAAAATGAAAGACTTTGAAATACCTCTTAAACACGCTATTACTCGATACGTGTTGTTATTTCAAATTTTTAAATGGATGACCCTGGGGGCAGAGGGTGAAAGGGGGTGAAGTAGTTTTTGGTTAAAAAGTTGTCCCCATTGACAAATCTTTTGTCCCCATTGACAAATCTTTTGACGTGTCTCGGCAAGTTTTCTTTTAATCAGTAGTTTTCGATAAATCCGTGGTGGGAACTTTTGAAATGAATACCCTGTATAAGTATTACAAATGAGAAAGTGGGGATACTTGTTACTCAATCATGCCAACATGGCTGAAAGGATCTACATGAAATTTCGTACAGAGATAGACTTTACTCAGGAATAGCACAATCGCTATTTTTTACCCCAGAAAATAACTTCGAAGTATCTATTTCACGAACTACACCTCGCGGCTTGAGCGGAAGCGCTCAGACGCTGGTCCGACAGAAATAAGTAAAGGCATGTAAAAAGGATATTTGCATCGTGCATTTACTGCATTTCGAGATTCGTTTTCTTAGGGTGATCGTCTTGATTTAGATTTGTTTAATGATTCGTTTTACTTCAAGTATAATACTATGGATAAATAATTATTTGGGTTAGGAGGCTGTTTTTTGTGTGCTATAGGTTATTAGTTGATTGTCAGTTCGTTCCGTTGCACAGATGTCTAGATCACCAAAAAGCTGCCAAAAAAGCAAGTTCTAATACACCATAAACTAAAAGTTTAATAGTCTGGCAGTGTAAGCAAAGTTCCGATCCCATGGCAAATCCATTGTATAGGGTATTAACTTTAGAATAGGTAAACATTTTCATTCATTTTCGATACTTTGTTTTCCAATGTTTACCAGTAGTTTGCATACGTCGGTTGTCATTAAAAGTCTTGATCGATAAGTATGGAATTGGTTTTAATTTGTTGGTTTGCTATTTGATTTACTTTAGGTACCTTCTGTAAATAAATTGTAATTTGGTTAACTGTGTGTTTTGCGTGCTATTTTAGTTAAATTTCAATGACATTAGGCACAGCTGTCGGCTTAGATTTATTACAATTTGTGTAATTTATTATTCCATGGTAGTTTTTGAAATGCCCGTAAAACGCGAATCTAATCTTTCGCAGAGGAATAATAAGCTCTGGCCATGAGAGTAGCTATCGTATGCCTCAAATAATACAAGTAACATTGTCTACGAAAATGCCGTAAAATGAATGATAAATCAATGAACAACTTTACCTATAATTACTCTAAGCATGCATGTTGAGATATGCCACACAGGCTAGGCTGTGAGATACTTCACGTTATATATACTAAGTGACATATAAATCCGAACACCCAGTTTAAATGGTTTTATTTTAATAAAAGTTGGTGAATGTATTTATCTTACTGTAAATAACAAGTGAAAAAATGTTCAGCCTTATCAGTTGGACATTCCGGTTTTTATACTGCTTTTTTTTAATTCGCTAACGCTCTAAAAATCAATATTTCAGCCGCAGTAAAGAATCAACGTTGGCGGATTTTGGTTCTTGACATCCTTTACGATCGGTTACGATGCCTAGAGTACGGAGACCTGTACGATTTCGTCAACTTAGTGAGTTTGATAGGGGCCGTATAGTGGGACTTCGGGAAGCTGGACTTTCTTTTCGGGCAATTGCAGTGAGAGTGCAAAGAAGTGTAGACACTGTGGTTAGGTGTTGTCAGGCATGGCTTCGAGAAGGCCGTACGCAAAGAGCAAGGGGCACTGGACGCCGCCGTAGAACAACAGACCGTGAAGATCGCCGCCTAACATTATTGGCCTTAAGGGACCGTTTCTCCACTACCAGGTCCATTGCAAATGAATGGTTTGCAGAACACGGAAGACCTATTGGCATGCGAAGTGTTTACCGACGAATGAAAAGTTTTGGCTTGTTTTCATACCGGCCACACTGGGTCCTCCCTTAACTCGAGAACACCGACGTAATCGCCTTGAGTGGTGGAGACAACGGTCACTCTGGGATCAGGAATGGAACAGTATTGTCTTTAGTGACGAGTCTCGATTTTGTTTAGGCATGCACGATGGTCGTGCCAGGGTTAGAAGGCGACGTGGTGAAAGGAGGAATCCACAGTTTTTTGTTGAAAGACATGTTCATCACACTGTTGGAGTTATGGTTTGGGGTGCTATAGCTTATGGTTCCAGGTCACCTTTAATCTTCATCAGAGGTAACATGAACGCGCAGGGTTATATCCACGAAGTTCTAGAACCCCATCTTTTACCCTATCTTGACACCCTGGCAGATCCAACTTTCCAACAAGATAATGCCCGACCACATGTTGCAAGAGTCACAATAGACTTCTTTCAACATAATGATGTCACATTGTTACCATGGCCACCAAGATCTCCCGACTTATCCCCAATTGAGCACGTGTGGGATATGATGGGTAGGAGATTGCTCAATTTGCAACGTCCTCCTTAGACTCTAGAAGCACTTCGAGAGGAGTTGGTGGTTGCCTGGAATGAGATACCACAGGAGGACATTGACCACCTGATCAGAAGCATGCCTAGACGCGTTAGAGAATGCGTAGCACATCAGGGTGCATCCACACATTATTAAAGGTCAAAGGGCTTTAAAGCAGTGCAATCATTTTGAAATTTTTATCATTTACTTCTTATGCTTCATTAAGTACTTATACTAAATTTTATTAAAATAAAACCATTTAAACTGGGTGTTGGGATTTATATGTCACTTAGTATATATTGTGACTACGCATTAGAAATTGGAAAAAAAATTCGAACAAATGCATTGAACTGATCTGGGCAAATATAAAAAACTATGTGCCTTCAAAGAATAGAACATTCAAATTTTCTGACGTGATAAATTTGTTTTATGAAGCTATAGTCAACGCCAAACAAAGTGGCGTGCACGTCATCAAGGTGGGTGTGTTGAAAAATTTACATTGTTGCCAAACTTTTTGTAAAATAATAAAATTTATTATTTACATATCTAGGTTTATAAGCAATATTAACCTCAAATGAGAACAAAAATAATAGTATAATAAAATTATAGATCTGTACTTGCATAATCATTAAGTATGACAATTATTGATCAGATGACACTATGAAACTACCATATTTAATTGATAGCTTAAAGGTACTGAATAAAAATCCAAATGGGGTCCTCCAAATTTTATGCATGGTATTTATTTTACAGAATTCATACAGAAAAATGCATTCTAAAATTAGGTAAGCTACTGGTGTAAGCTTTTTCTGTACAATAAAGTTAGTCGGAGTTTCTTTCTTCAGCGCTGTCTGAATCTGAATCTTCATCACTCTCAAAGTTGATTATTAAAGGTTCGATGTCTGGTCGATCAAAAATTCGTTCTCTTTCATACCATTTAAAAATTTCTTGCTCAGTATGTCGAACACTATTTTTCCACATGTCTGGGGCAACCGTTTGTAGAGCCTCGTTCTACATATCCAAACAGAGTTACCATCTCTACCAATATGTCTGTTATAGTAACATTTTGCTATGCCCCAAATTAACTCAATAGGGTTAAATATACAATGGTAAGGGGGCAGACGAAGAACTTTGTGCCCATGTTGTTCCGCCAATTCATCAATCACGTATATTTTAGGTGGTTTGTTTCTAAAAAAGCAGTTATTTTAAGAATAGGAATAAACAAAAGAAATATAAACTGTCGACCAAAATATATATAATTAAGAAGCATTATGTACCGAGCAACAATACTCAATAGCTCTGTTTTAAACATTGTGTTTAAAAATGGTATGTTTTGATTTGTCAACCAGTCTTGGATATTTTTTTTTGTCCATGCATTGTTGGGCACTTTGTTCAATATCATGCTGTAATAAGGGGCGTTATCCAGTATAATCATAGATGGACTCTCCAATTTTTCTAATAACTGATGTTGAAACCATTTCAAAAAATTGTCCTGGTTCATCTCTCCATGGTAATCGCTCAATTTTGTTTTCGAAGAAAATATCGCTTCACTACCCTCAATAAACCCATTTTCATTTCCAGCATGTAATATAATGTATCTAAAATATATTAGTTTTAAATTTTATAGTGCAAATTGTGTAAAAGTACATACCTTTTACCATCTGTTTTAATAGCTTTCACGCTTTTTTGGTTTCCATTTTGCCAAGAGCGACCTATGGTCCCATTTTGAAATATCCAAGTTTCATCGAGGAAGACAAACTGGTATAAGGCCTCAACCTTGGCTTGATTGTATTGCCTTAGAAATTCCACCCTTTTCAAAGCTATACTTGGTAGTTCCATGAGCCCTCGTCGCGGATTGTCCTTAAGCCACTTAAATCCAAGATCTCTAAGCAACCGCCTTAAAGATGTGGCACTACCATCAAATAATGCCCTATCTCTTAATCGAGACCATAAAGTTTGTATCGTAACTTGTTCTTCTGAAACCATGTGTAATATGACATTATAATTTAGTTAACAAATTAATGCAAATTTCTGATAAGTTATTATAATAAGATCTTACTTTTGTGATACATATTATAGATCACTTCTCGAATGGCACTTGTATCCAATGTCGCTGTGTTGGTTACACGTTTAATATAACTCCGCTTTTTCTTGGGCGATTCTAAATTTGCATCACTTTTCACACCCTCGGAAATACGACTAACTGTCCTTAAACTAATTTTTAAAGCAGCAGCAACACGCTACAAAAAATGAAATAAAATTTCACTATTATTAATATACATTACATATAATTATTAGTAACCTACCTCTTGAACAGCATTTAAAGGCAACAAAGGCCCTTTCTTGCTCAAAGTAGTGCATTAACGAGGCCACGAGTTCCTTACACCGACTATTTAACTGTTTGGGCATCTTTATATACCAAAATTGCCTTTATCTACTCGTAAAATGAATAATTTTGTTTTGAAACAAACAGTTGTTGATTTACAGTATGCGGGGCCAAAGGATTTATAAAGATTTGAAATGCCACAAATTGATTCAGTGTCAAAATTAATACAAATGTCAGTTCCCAGTTTAAATAAGTTTCAAGGTGACAATGTGTCAACGCTGCGAAATCGGTTTAGTGCGTTTACATGTCGATAAGTGATTGGAGCGTTTGCAAAACATTTTATTTCGCATAATGCGTCTAAATTTATCAGAAAGCAACTTATGTGATATTTTAATAACAATGTTTATATGACTATTAACCATAATAAGAGAGTAATGACCATTTTACAATTTATATATCACATTAATATGAAACTGCAATAGAGCAATTGTTTGTGATAGAAACCTAGGCATTAGGTCGGGGAATTTTTATCGTGATGACGTGCACGCCACTTTGTTTGGCGTTGACTATATCAACAGAGTGACGACAAACCATTGGAAACAAGGATGTGGGATCTGGACAATATGATCGATATTCAAATTGAACCTGTAATAATTAATACGGACGATGATTCAAGTACTTCCAGCGAATAAAGAATTGCGAAAAGTATGTGCACTCTTTTCTATGAAAATAATCTTTTATTTTGTTAGGTTATTTCAACACCATTGAGGAAAATACGGACCTCTACAATCTGGCTTTTGGGCACGTTGTGTTTTGTCTGGGCGTAAATGGACTAAGAATGCGGTATAGTGCATTACTTCTTTGTCCGAAAGCAATCTCCTTCAGACTAATAAAAAGCGAATGACCTATAACTTATAGTATTTCTCGATAGTGGAGCCAGATATTTAGCATAGTTCTGAATAAAAATCGAAAAAAAACAATTGCAGAGATGGCGAAACTTATTCTTTTGCTCGAATATGCTGAATAAGCAGAATTTGAACAGATGTGTCCGTTATTCCTAGATTCACCAGAAGGTAGTGATGCTAATAAGATTCGAAACACAGAGTTTGACCAAATCATCGGCCACTCCAGTCACTCCTAAGTCCGCATACTGAACTAAGGACTTTGACGGCAACACGTATTGATATTAGATGGAATAACCAAGGTTTAGAAGAAGACTTGGATAACATCCAAATTAACACTAAAGCCGCGTACAGACCGAGATTCCAACGCAAGCCAAGGCTCATGTGATTACAGATTTAGAAGTGTTCGAATCGGTGTGTACGGCGCGAGCCAACATAAGTCAACGGTTCCTAAGGTCGGCGTTCGCGTTCGATTGCGTTCGATTGCGTTCGCTCCTTGATCGGTACATCGAAAGGAGGTTTGATTTGGTCTAGACAGTATTTGTTGCGGTTCTAGTATTTAGTCGTTTGTCTGCATTCGGTCAGAGGAGCGAAATTTTTAAAATGCCCACCATCTTCACCCTGAAGTTCCTCTAGTAAGTGACTGCCACTATACGAGTACAAGGCTCTATTTTTAAATGGTGTTGTCACCCACCAACGTCTAGGCCGTTTCTTATTTTTCTTGGATATTACAGAATGTATTATCAAAAACCCCGCACTCGCCAACAGTAAATCGTCCTAGTCGCTCGACATTAGCACCGAACTTAACCCGACGCCGTCCAACTCGAAACTAAATTTAGGTTTTGGTTTTGACTACGTGTAGACTATTGCATTCCAACAAAGGCCAACGTCACATGTGCTTGCATTCGTTTGCTCGGCGTTGGATTTTTGGTCTGTACGCGGCTTAAGACAAATTGGAAGCAACAGTTCGGATTCCTAGACTCTCGATTTATATGTTATCAAAATACACAGAATGGAATATTTGTTTTTTCACGACATCTGAATCTCAGTAGAGATGGACGAGCTCATCGGAATTTAGGAAACTAAACAGTTGCTTGATAAATGGCCCAGTTCTCCTACAAACATTGTAGTGCTTATACATGTAATACAAATATAGCCCAGAATCACATGTCCATGTACCACAGAATGTCTATCATATGTTAGCAGATGACTATTCAGATTATAATAGCTGTTTAGGTATCTACGGCGTTAGATGTGCGTTTATGGCACGCGGCCTGAGATTGGAGTGCAAGTTAGATAGCTCCCCGCGCTTTATCTAACTCACCACACTTATTTAGCCCGAGATGCATACAAAAACTAATATCTACTACTACTAAATCATTCCGCCCAAATACTCTTTAAAATATAATGGCAAAAGTAGCTGAACGGATTACCCTCAGTCGTTTAAACATCTGGTTAGAACAGGTAATCCCACACTACCAATAAGGATTTGTGAAGGGTAAAAGACATGCTACTCAAATCTTCGGAACAGTCCACCATAGCTGTTGGTACAGCAGTTGCCAACCTGTCAGTGACCGTGTTAAAGACTCCGCTACACAAATTCCAGTCATTCTGCGATGCTATACAGACGTAATTCACACGGTCGGATCCCAGACGCAGTCACCGACCACTGTACGAATAAACCAGTTATGTACAAAAACGCTTTGACAGCTACTCTAGTTTTAGAGGTGGTGTTTTTTATTCTAGAGTTGTAAAGACGTCATAAGGAGCTTCAAAATGATCCCTTTTTCCATTTGAAAAAGGGTTCCAAAATTAGCCTGAATTTTGGCTTGCTAACTTGACCCGCAGGATTATTACGTATATATATATATATGGCGAGTTTCTGCAACCTAAGGTCGCTTCTCGCAACCCATACGCCATCGTATCCTATCGTTCCAGTCTCCTTCATGTAGTCCTCTACTTTCCATTGCGGTATGGATCTTTGAAATCCATTTCCTTCGTGGTCTTCCTCGTTTATTTCTTTGTGCTGGTGTCCATTTCCAAACCCTTAATGGTATCCTTTCTTCGTTCATTCGTTGCAGGTGTCCATACCATTTTAACTGCCTCTCTGTTATATCGTCCATTATTGTATTTTCGACTTCCATTCTTTCTCTGATGGTCTCATTTCTAACATGGTCAAGTAAAGTTAAACCGGAACATCTTCTCCAGTACATCATTTTGGTTGAGAGAAGCTTTTGTGACATATTTTTATCTACAACCCACGCTTCTGACCCATACGTCAGTACTGGTTGAATCATAGCCTGATATATAATTTTTTTTGTTTTCTTTGTTAGGTTCTTACTCCACAAGATCGGATGTAGTGCTTTAATCATATTTTTTCCTTTTCCTATTTTCCTTAGTATGTCTTTATTATCCTTTCCGCTTTAATCTATTGTAACTCCTAGGTACTGGTACTGTCCGACGTTTTCTATTTTTCCGCTTTTTGTTTCGATGTATTGTCCTGTGCCTCCTATAGTCATGTATTGTGTCTTTTGTATATTTATCTCCAAACCCCATT